GCTTCACACATTTGGGAAGCAAGGAGACAGGCGACGCGACAACAGCAGACAACCATTCGAGGGAACGATCAGTGTTGCCAGACCTACTATTTTCAAGTAGATCCACTGTTTTTGTGTCTGTTCTCCTGTTTTAGGCATGAAATCTACTGTTTTCGCCATATTAACAAATTTTGTTCTTAATTTATTAAGTTTGCCTCATTCTTTAGCAAATGGTCAAAGAATATTTTTTTTAGTAAATTTGCTGAAGTAGAAGCAGCGTAATAATCATCCACTACTGTAGGTTTGCTCAAAAAAAAAAAAACTCAAGATAATCGCTTTTATTTAAAATGCAATAAAGAATTAATAGGGCATCATAAAAAGAACATACATGCCAAACACAACGTATTTGAGTTATCTGATTATTTTTATTGTGTTTTTTTTCTGTTTCTGGACGTTAAGTATTTATTAAAAATTTTATAATTTGTTTTTATTCTTTGTTTACCTTCTAATTTGGGTAGAAAAATGATTATTTTTCGTTTCTTATATACTTGTTTTTTTTTTATTAACTACACTGCAAATTATAATTATTTCCCCCTGTATTAAAAACTACTGTTCAGATCTACGGTTTTTTTTTCACCCATACTGTTTCAGTAAATTTTCATCTGGCAACACGGCCCAGGATAGAACTTTGCAACTACCATTTCTATAAAATATCGATTAATCGCCTCGAAATATTAGCAGACAGGTAGAAAACGCTAACCCGAGACTGATCTATTTGTCATCGACTTCTGTCTCTCCCACTGGTCACACCTTGCGAAATGTGCTTCATATAATTGCATGTGTTCAGACGTGAAAAGACTGTTCTCGGTCTCCTTTGCCATCGCGTCTCTTGTCGTCTGTCGCGCCTTCCGAAATGGTACCTTTATCGTTTTTTACTTTCCTATCTGTATACAGATATAAGGAAAGTATAGGAATCATGATTTTTTTCGACCTCGAGTTTTCGACGGATTTTTACGTTTTGAGGTCCCCTGAATCCGTTTTGACTATTTTCGCGATGATGTCTGTGTGTGTGTCTGTGTGTCGCATAACTCATGAACCGATACACAGAAAAACACCAAATTTCAAACTTAAGCTTTGCTCCAGCGTCTAATGTGCTGATTAGATTTTGGGCAGTGTCGGAATATCTGGGGGGGTACTTTATAGGTGGTCATTTTTATATTTTATGGAATATATGTTATTTAAGTTTGGGGAAGAAAATTCTTCAAATAAAAGTTACTTCTTGTATTATTATCTAAAATTTTTGTTCTATACAAAATTTTCCTAAAATGGTCCGTATTCGAGAAATTTGACAAAATGTAAAAAAATATTTTTTTATAAAAATTGTTCAAACAAAAGTTGTTTGTAATATAATTCTCTATAATTTTTGTCCTATACATAATTTCTCTAAAATGGACCGTATTCGAGATATTTGAGAAAATGTGTAAATTTGAAGAAAACTCAAAAACGGATAAAGAAAAAAACATTAAATTTTAAACTTAAGTTTTATTTCGGCCTGACGTGAAATGATTAGATTTTGGACAAAGTCGGAAAATCTGGGGGGGGGGGGGGAACTTTATGGGGGGCCGTTTTTATATTTTATGGAATATATCTGTTATTTATGTTTGGAGAAAAAAATTGTTCAAATAAAAGTTATTTCTAATATTATCTATAATTTTTGATTTATGTCAAAATTTCCTGAAATGGTCCGTATTCGAGAAATTTGACAAAATGTGCAAAATTCTGATTTTTATGAAAATTGTTGAAATAAAAGTGGTTTGCGATATCGATCTCTATAATTTTTGTTTATACATGATTTTTCTAAAATGGACCGTAATGGAAAAATTGTAGGAAAAGTGTTAAATTTAAATTTTTTAGTATTTTCATTTTCAATGAACATCATTAGAAAAATGTTTCGAGGTAGATGTATGTGGAAAATGTATATATTTATTTTATCCTCTAAACATTTATGGAGGTGCTGCAATAGGTTGTACAAAATAACCGGAAAAAGCCTGTAATAACTAGATAGGAAAGTCATGTGTTGGACACATCAGATTTTTTAATTACATCTCGCAAACGAGGCAAAATTCAGTTTGTAATGAAGTCAATTTTTCTCAATCAATTTATTTTCATTTTTCATTATTAATAAATATTAATCGCGGTTGAACTGCTAATTTTCAGATGCGCGAACGCCACTCGAAGTCTCGATGCGCGATAGCTTTGAACGTAAGTGGGATTTTCGATTGGGAGAGGGACATTTGTTTGAACGATAGCGGAGATGCTATTAAAATTATCAGTTCGATATAAATTTTGATTGCCAGTAGTTTAGTCCGATAAGCCGCAGTAGAAATCTAAACACCACCGATATTTTTTTTTTCGTTTTCAATATTTACGAATCCGTTAGGTAAAAAAACCTTGTTTTTAAATAGGGAATTAGTTTGTAGGAATAGGAATATTTTTAATAGATACTGTTTAGTTAAAAGAATTAATTTGATTTAAATAATAAATAATAGGATTTGTTTCTTGGCAAATAATACCGCGTCTTTATTTTTATTTTATAGATAGGGTTTAGTTAAAAGAATTAATTTGATTTAAATAATAAATAATAGAATTTGTTTCTTGGCAAATGATACCGTTTCTTTTTTTTCTTTCTTATAAATAGGGTTTAGTTGAAGGGTTTAGTTTGATTTGGATAATAAATATTAGAAATTGTTTCTTGGCAAATATACCGTTTCTTTAAAAAGGGATAGAATTTGAATTAAATATTAAATGATAGGATTTAATTCTGTAATGTTGTAAAACCGGGGTTTTAAACTTTTGATTGTTAGTCGGTTTTAAGAAATTATTCATTTTCTTTTGATAGGTTAAATCGGGATTTAAATTTGACTTTATTCATAAATACTTTTGTTTAGTAGGTACCGCGTTGTAATTAAGTTGAGAATATTTATAAACGGAGTTTTCGAGGAGACGTTCTCCCTCTTTTAATAATTTGTTTATTTCTTTTACCGTATATTTGAATAATCTTAAATAGCATCCTGTCCTGGTCTGAACGGGCTCGTGATGACGATCAGTTCACCCTTGGAGTAGGTGCTATCCGCGTTATATATATTTTTTGAGTTAATCTGTAAACCGCAATTTTTAAATAATTTTAAATAGTATCCTGTCCTGTTTGAACGGGCTCGTGGAGTAGGTACTATCCGCGTTAATAAATTTTCTTCCCTCCGATAATAATTTGTTTTTCTATTTTTCCGTCAATTTAAATAATTTCAAATAGTATCCTGTCCTGTTTGAACGGGCTCGTGATGACGATCAGTTCACTCTTGAAGTAGGTACTATCAGCGTTAGTAAATTTTCTTTCCTCCGATAATAATTTACTTTTCTTTTTTTTTTTCGACAATTTAAATAATTTTAAATAGAGTCCTGTCCTTGTCTGAACGGGCTCGTGATGACGATCAGTTCATTCCTGGACTAGGTGCGGGTTAATTTTCTGTTCCGCTGTATATGCTTCATTTTTTTTTTCGTGCAAATTGCAAGTTATAGAAATCAAAAATAGCTTCATTACCCTGTCTGAGCGGGCTCGTGATGTCGATCAGCTCATTCTGGGATAATAGGCTACCCCGGGTATAAATTTATTTTCATTTTCTTTCCATGTATTTACTATAAGTAATTCTTTCGCGTCCCTGTCTCCTCGCACTCTCTTCGACCGTTTATTTAATTTTTCCTCACGTAAAGTGCAAAACAACTACATTTGAGTTTAAATTCCCGATACCGCGGTTAAACAGTTATTTACCGAGTAAATAACCAAATTAATATTTTTTTTCTGCGATCGAGACATATATTTTACTTTGATTTAATTTTGACGTCTGATTGAGACTAGTCGCGAATTGATACCTTCCGTTTTGTTTTTTTTTTTATATTCAGGGTTATATTGACTATCACCACAACTGGGGTGGGCGTTGAAATATTTAATTTCTTTTTTTTTATTGTAAATAGTTAACCACAATATATGTGTCAATGTTAACCTGTCGTATTACTGGTTAATAATTCCCTACTTTATTTCCCCCTTATATTTCAACTAGTGAAAAATTCCGTACGAGCCCAAGTAACGATTAAAGCCCGTTACTTGTGGCCTTCTATTACCTGTGTCTAAGTGACCTTTGACCCCTGTAATTTTTCATCACAATCTGTAGCTACCCGAGTACTTTCGACGCCGTTTCGAAAGTTTGTGGAGTAAACCATCATCAAAAATCTGGCCCTCGAGAACCGCCCGTAACCAGCGTCATTCGTAAGGAACCGTTTTCTCTGTGGCGAGAAAACCCCTTACAAGTTATTGTTAATAGGAAATTTTTTGTAGAGAATGCGTTTCCATATCAAAATAGTTCATTTAAAAAATATATATACAACTTAACTAAGTACCGATTCTAAACTGAATATAATGAAAGGAAATACAATACAACTGGTGGCATTACACCTAAGGTGGAATGACACAAACTAATCTAATGTAATAGTCAGAAGTTCCAAGGTTCATCCACGAGATTGCTGACTCAGGGTTATTGACTCTATAACTTACATTTTCTTTATGTAAAAAATATTTAAAAAAGAAGTAAAAAAATCAAAAATAGAGATAAAATTAATTAAAAAACTGTAAGGGTTGTATTTTCACCGCTATATCCAATTTCCACCCTCTAATTTAATAGCCCTCTGCGATTTTTTCACCTTTAATGATCATTATTTGATCGATTCATGTAATAAAACCCGCCCGCGATGGTGATAGTTCCTTATTGTCTCCTTTTATAGGACATAATCAATAGCCTATAAAACCTTTTTTTATTAATCAAAGTGAACCCTATAGAACTAGAATTTTTTTTTAAATTCGAACAAGTAAAACATGTCTTAAATTATTCTTAAAATGCTGAATCTATTTGTTTTTTGCTTTGTTGTCACGCTCACAAAATTATTCGACAGGATGATTCTTTCTTATTTACCTGCAGATTTATCCAAAAAGTATGCCAATAAACAGCGCAACACAGCTTGATGAGATACAACTAAAACATTGCCCTGTCGTTCTAATTCCATAATGACTGGTTCTAAGCGGGCGACCAAATCTTCGTAACTTTCCCCTCTTGGATATCTATAAGCAAATTTATTCGTATCTCTAGACGAAAATTCTTCCGGGTATTTTTCTTTGATTTCTTCGTAAGTCATTTCCTCGCACACGCCCTAAAACGAAAGAATCTAAATTTTAACGGAAATTAAATGAATGGGAAACTCACGGCATCTATTTCGTTTAACGCTTTCCATCTTTCTTGAGGTACATGTAAACCAGACACGGTCTGAATGGTCCTCTTTAACCATGACGTCCAAACCCTTAAACCTTCTATTTTCTGTTCGTGAATAAATTTGGACAAAGCACTGGCGTACTGCTTTCCTCTACTACTTAAATTTGAATCGCCACCTATCCTACCGTCCAGATTCTGTTCACTTTCCCCGTGCTAAAAACATTTAATTTTAAGACTAAAAAAATGGAATTAATACTATAAACTATACAAATAGTTATTTATAAACCAAGGTCGCTAAGAGTAATTTTCAAGTCGAGAACTGAGTTTGCCAACCGAAGCTTTAAATAGTAGGGCTGAGGACTGAAAATGTTCACTCGAATAAAAAACTAAAAATCGAGGTGAATACGTTTTTCGCTTTCCTACTACTATAATCTGATTTTAAACTACAAGATTATCATTAGTTATTTGTTGTACATGTATATTTTGATTGCCCAATTAAATAAAAATTATTTTTTCAGGTAAAATTTAGAAAAATTTCTAGAGTATATATGGATGTTTGCAGACAAATGCTTTGAAATCAAATAAATACACACCAAATCAAATGGACAAGGATAATCAGTATACTATTTTTCTCATGTGTATAATTTTTTTGGGATACATTTAGTGGCGGCTGGTAGATAAGTGCTGCAGAGCTTCCAAAAAAAATGCTAAATACAAAATCTAACTCAAATACGAGGTAAGCGCCAATAATTCCCGGCCTGACATAGTTGCAGATATTTTATCAGGATAAAAGTTTAACATTTTATAACTACAAACCTTAGTAGGCTGTGGTAACAAAATAAGCGACTTACGTTAAATAGTTTTTAATTGTCAGCATTTTGAACTAAAGTATCTCCGAAAATGTCTCAGGTGACGAAAATTGAGTACAGAGCGGTTATTAAATTTTTAACAAAAGAAGGGCTTACACCTAAAATTATTAAAGAAAGACTTGATGGCGTATATGGCCAAAGTTCCCCTTTCTATTCGGTAGTGAAGGAATGGGCAAAACGTTTTCCCATGGGTCAGGAATCCCTTGAAGATGACGAAAGACCTGGACGGCCAGTGGAGGTGATAACGGAGGACAAAGTGGCCCTTGTGGAAAACCTGGTGCTAAGTGACCGACGTTTGAAGGTCAAGGAAATGTCAAAAATTACCAAGCTTTCTGATACCACTGATCGCCGAATCCTACATAATCATTTGGGTATGCATAAGGTTAGTGCAAGATGAGTGCCCAAACACTTTTCGGCGATTCAGAAGCAACGTCGTGTCGAGTGTGCTCGATCGTTTATGGAACTGTGTGGAGATGATCCGAACCCCGTGTTGGAAACAATAGTCACTGCAGATGAAACTTTGGTTCTTTATTATGATCCTCTGTCGGAGTGGCGCCGTAAGGGTGAAGCCCCCCACGAAAATTTAAAGTCTGCCAATCAACGAAAAAGCTGATGGCTACGATCTTTTGGGATTGTGAAGGAATCCTTCTGATTGATTTTAAAGAGACAAATACCACCGTTAATGGCACATATTATGCCGCATTACTTCATAAGTTGCGGGAATGTATTCGGGAAAAACGTCGAGGAAAATTAACCAGAGGCGTGCGGTTGTTGCACGACAATGCGCCCGTTCATACTGCTAGCGTTACACAAGCTGCCATCCTAGATTGCGGGTTTCAAAATATAGATCACCCTCCTTATAGTCCAGATATGGCCCCCAGCGATTATTATTTGTTTAGTTATTTGAAAAAGGACCTTCGCGGGCGACGTTTTCGGGACGATTTTGAGTTACAAGAAGCTGTTTTGGCCCATTTTGAGGATAAACCGAAAGAATATTTTTTTAAAGGGATTGAAATAATTAATTAAACGTTGTAAGAAGTGCATTGAGGTTAAGGAAGATTACATTGAAAAATAATAAAAACTTGTTGTTGTACTTTGCCTCCTTCATTGTCAGGCCGGGAATTATTGGCGCTTACCTCGTATTTCTTATTACCAAAAAGAAAATGTATATTATATTCGCATTGTAATAATGATTAAAATGCTGGCGAAGCGCCCGTGTACGTAAAGTCGACCAGAGGAATAACCTACCTACCTACCGACACACCAGGGTTGCCAATCGTACGGTAATTACCGTACTTGTACGGTAATTTCAATTAATGTACGATATATGGTCCAAAGTCATTACCGTACATAAAAGTACGGTATTTACAAAAAAAGTACGGTATACGTACGGTATTTTCAACAGAATTAGCAAAGACTGAGTTGTGCAAGAAGGACCGACTCCATTAAATTACCTAATAAAGATTAGAATGACATTGTCCAATGTAAAAATGCAGCAGATGTTCTTAAAAATTTCAAAAGGACCTAGTCTGTACAAAAATACAAAAATATAAGCTAATATAAGGCCTTTTTTTAGAAGCTAGGTAAAAGGACCAGACGATGATTAAAATAATATGATGAGGACCTTTTTTTTTTTTTAGAAACACGACACGAAGAGTTACACAATATAGTTTTTTTTACAAAATAAAAGTGTACGGTACTGGCAGGCCATGTACGGTAATTTGAATTGCGCGGTACGGTAAATGGAATTTGAAAAGTTGGCAACCCTGCGACACACACGCTTGAACCATTATTTATCTGGGCCACATGATAAAGCTCCGTGCGCTCTTTCACCCGCGCGGCACTCCGCTACCCCGCGCCCACGGTTAAAACAAACCGGTGATTTAAGTGGAGAGTTCGCTACAATTAGTCCATCACAGCGCTTAAAGGCGGGTACAGATCTGAACACGTACCTGTATGAGGCAAGCTGAGGACGCATGAGCATGCAGATTTGGACGAGTTTCCGAGGCGCGGCAAATTGCCTCGTTGTGTGCACCGTACGGCGGTACATCAAAGGGAGGCAACGCACAGTACGTGCTCAGTCTGGACGGGGAATTTGTTCCATACACGTGTACAGATTATAGCGAGTTTTTGAGATTGATTTTGCATGGAGTGGGACCAGGAAAATGTTGTGCTTCTCCTGGGTTTAAATAATCAGCGTGATATCTCAAGAGAGCAAAACGCCAGTTTTATTACAACACCATAAAAAAAGAATATCCTTGGCAGGAAATCGGCCATCGATGCCTTTCTCTCCTTTTTTCTTTAATGTATCGGATAAAATAATAAAACATGCACTCAACTCTGCGACGTCATCCTCATCCTTCATTTTTGTTTTAATTTTACGAATTTTCTCGGTATACGGTTGCGTGCTTGTGAATTTACTGAATCAGTGACGAACAGCGCCTCGTGCGTCCACCATTCGTGTCATGGAGACTACACAAGGAGCACGCACTCCATGTATAACAAGCGTACTGTGTTAAACAGAGTATTTTAAGAGGGCGCTAGTGTTCCATAAGTACCAAAATGGCATAAGAGAATGAGGCGGTAGTTTGAAATAAAATAAATAATTCTAATTAATTATTTATTAATTAATTAATTATAACTCTAATTGGGGTCTATTCTGTAACAATTCCTTTATATTTAACGGCCTTTAAAAATATTTTCTTCTTTACTTCTGTCATTATTTAAACGGATCTTTAAAATACATTAGTGTACTATCTTAAAGGAATGTTTAAATAATGACAGAAGTAAATTAACGAATACAAATATACTTTTATAGGCCGCCAATATTTTTAAAGGCCGTTAAATATAAAGGAATTTTTACAGAATAGACCCCAGAATATTTATTTAATTTAAAATCATTTGACACGTGTTTACGTTAATTAAATAATCGGTTACTTTATTTTCACGCTAACTTCACATTTGTTTATTCCTCTATATTCACACCGGTACAAAAGAAAAATTAGCGACGCTAGTGGTGAATAAAGAAAGCTTTATTTATACGATAAAGAATAATGTAGTAAAAATCAATGATGGAAGTTGCACATTAATTCAAATTTAGCGCCATTTTAAAAATATCCAGATGGCGCGGCGACTGGGCGCTGTGCGAACTTTATCCGCTCGTGACATACTCTGGCAAATGCCACACTTAAGTGCGTGCTCCTTGTGTAGTCTCCATGATTCGTGTATACAAAATGCGTCGCACGAGGCATTCGGTTCAGCATCGGCTTGCCTCATAGACGTACGTGCTCAGATCTGCACCCGCCCTTAATACGTACGGTGTCGATTTTTTTGAATTTTTTCACGACTTTTGAGTTTATGGTGAGTCAAAGTTAAAAAAAATAATTTTAAGTGTGCGTGTATTGTGTTTTTGTGTATTGCTGACAATTATTTGTGAACTATAGAAGTGGTCTTCAATTTAATTAACGTAAAGAAATTTTTTAAATATATATACGAAGAAAAGATGTAATTAAAAGCAAAAGGTAGGCCATTACCAGATATTATTATAGAAAAAACTGGTGTAAGTAGAGGAAAAGTTACACACGAAAATTTAATAGAGATATTTATTCAAAAAATAAATGGATCTGTTGATGCAACAAAAAAATGCTCTGTGCTGTTCTCCCTGTTTACTTTTTGGTGGCGATAAAGCTTGGACAGAAATAGGGATCACCGATCTAGAATACTTAAGTTTAAAGATAAAAAACACGAAAACTCTAAAATCCATCTTCATAATTGCATTGAATTTGCGTTGCTAGGGACAACTAATATTATGGCTCAATTAGATTCTGTTTATTGGTTAAATATACAAAGACATAATGAAAATGTGTCAAAAAATAGGTATATTTTATCCAAAATTATTAATTGCATTAAGTTTTGTGGAGCTTTTGATCTAGCTCTTCGGGGTCATGATGAGAGCGATTCTTCCGAGAATCCGGAGATATTTCGTGGACTCATAAATTTCTCGGCTGAATTAGACCAACTAAAAAATTATTTGGTATATAAAGGCACCTTTAAAGAAATACATAACGATCTGTTACAGTGTATGCTCGATGTCTGTCATGAACAAATAATTGAGGAAATTAATAATTTTCCATTTTTGGCGATCATGGCGGACGAAACAACGGATGTTGCTGCAAAAAACTCAACTGGTATATTTAGATATGTTCGCTATGGTGAGCCAATTGAACGTTTTTGGAACTACTTAATTCCTGAAAAATGTGATTCAGAAACACTTAGTAAAACAATTTTAATTGTTATAGATCCTTTAATTCAAAATTCACAGAACAAACTGATGGCACAAAATTATGATGGAGCCGTGGTGATGAGCAGCCAATACACAGGCGTGATCGCATTAATAAAAAAAGTATCCTTTTGCTCACTATGTACATTGCTATACCCATCAGTTTAATTTAATTATGACTAAAGTTGCTTCTGCAAATTCGCAAGTACCTGTATTTTTTGGAAATTTACGAGATATTCGGGCTTTTTTAATAATTCACCCCAGCGAGTAGAAGTCTTCAACAAGATTGTGAAGAGAAGGATCTCCATGGCGCTACAACCCGTTGGAATTTAAATATAAGGACCATTAATATTGTGTACGAAAATAGAGCGTCTCTCATTAAGTGTATGCATGAAATAGAAGAACAAATTCACCAACAACACAATCTGTAGTGCAGCTGTCTCTATTTGCAGTACATTAAATGATCCGATTTTCAATTTTTGGCTGACTTTTTTTCAACATGTGATGCCTCACGTAGACATCCTATTCAAGCAACTACAGCAAAGAAAAATTGAACCCACTCTAGTAGAAGACGCTATCGATCATTTTGAACGCATTATCACTCAATTGCTAGCATTATTACTGAAGCATCAGATATAATAAGCAAGCAGCCACCAGAAAATAAACGTAAGCGCCCAGGTAATAGCAGATTTGATCACCGGACTTCTACTTTAGAGGTGTGTGACGTTATCCTAAATTGAGATAAAAATCTATTAGATTTTAAAGAGCATCTAGTAGTTACCTCACTTTCTTTCGGAATGCTTTGGAGAGTATTGTGGTAAATTTCCCGATGATAAACTCACTTCCGCATGCTCTTTTTATCCCACAAAGAACGATTGCAAACTGAACTGTCTGTTATTTATTCAAGAAATGATTGCAGGACATTGAATCTATCTCTACTAAAAATTTTAATATCAAACAATCTGGGAGATACGTTAAAGGGGACTATAAAATTATTAGAAATTGTAGTATCAACTTATATGACAACATCAGAGGCCGAACGATGTTTCTCAACACTAAATCGAATCAAAACGTTTCTCAGAAATTCAATGACCGAAGATCGTTTAACAGCTCTTTCCATGCTATCTATTGAAAAAAAGTTTACTTCCGAAATAGACAATTTTAATGAAAAATTTATTACAAAATTTGCGAACCAAAAAAAACGTAGGATAGGCTTAATTTATAAAAAATAGACTGTAAAATCACACTATCTGTTTAAATTGTTCACGTCATTTTTTTAAACATCTTGTATTTTGTTTGAAGAAAATAGAGTACAGTGCTTGGTGATTCTTTTTTTTTATTGTATGGCAATCGTTCCAGCAATCCATCATCATTCAGCATGCACGATAAAATCGATGGGACTTTGACTAAGAAGACAACCCCCCTTAAAGGTAAGCTTTTTTACAAAAATTGCAGAACACCCTAAAATGTTTACTACAAGCCGCCACTGGATACATTGTATAATTGATTGCGACGTACTCTTTGAACACGTCGTTAATAACAATAACTGAATACACAATGTTATTAACGACGTTCTCGAAAAACACATCGCAATCCTTTACAAAGTGTGTTCCAAAAACTTTTATACACATAAGAAAGTTTTATCTTATATTTAATAAAAACTTTTAGGCAAGAATTTTTTAATACAGTTTTTTGTTAACAACGTGCTCGAGGAACACGTCTTAATTCATTACATATACTATACACTTTTTCTCCTGTGTATAATTTTTTTAGGATACATTTTTATCTCCCTACACTAGCTTAGATACAGGGGTTCACTTTTAACCAAAATGAATGACACATAAAACAAAATTAATTTAAGTTGTTGAAGTGACTGTTTACTGCAACTATCGCTGTTGTCTTCATTTGTAAGCCTTCCTTTTCACTCATATTGTTAACTAATTCACTCATTAACGTAAAATCAATTAATCAAAACTTATTCTTTTCCAAAAATGTCTCATAAATATTTATTTCCTAATGTTGACAAACATCCTGACAGTTTGTCAAGTGTCAGTTTTAGACATCTTTCAAAAAGATGTCTTTTCAACTTTCAACCTACGAAATGGTACCATTCTCGTGATCTTGACATCCCTCAAATAGGTTTTTTTCCCAAAATCATAGATTTGTAACCCATTTTCTGTTTGTTTGTTAATTAGATGTCGTTTGTCCTTTACCTTTTTTCTTCGATGTTCTTTATAAATGTTAACAAATTTTGACGGGTAAATAAGTTTGTGACTTTAATTATTTTCAGTTATTGTATTACAGTGGTTCTCTTTTTTGTATGTGTCCCGATGATAATTGATAATTCATGATTATTAAAAACCTTACACACTTTATTCTGCGTTTTATTTCTGAATATTAATAGTTTAATTTTTTTTCTGAAAAATCCATTATTTTCGATTAATCTAGAATAATTAATTATTTTAAATAATTGATTTTTTTTAAATCGATCATTCTAGAATAATCGATTATTTTTGAATAATCGATTTTTTAAATCGGTTATTTTAGTTTTTTGAAAATTCGATTATTTTATTTTTTTTTAAATCGATTTACTATTATTTTTTTTTAAAAATCGATTAATTTTTTTGAAAAATGGACAATTTTAGAATAATTGATTATTTTAAATAATTTATTTCCTTATTTTTTTTTAAATTGATTTTTTTTTAAATCGATATTTTTTTAATCGATAATTTTAGATATTCGTTTCATTATTAAATCAATTATTTTTTAAAAAATCGATAATAATTTTTTATTAATCAATAGTCGATTATTTTGTTAATTAGTTTTTTGAAAAACAGATTATTTTTTTTTTGAAAAATCGACATTTCTAAAATAATCGATTATTTTAAATATTTTATTATTTATTTTCTTATTTTTTGATAATTTGGTAATCGATTATTTTTTAAAAATCAATAACTACTCTTGATTCATTATTTATTAAATGGATAATTTTAAACAATCGACTATTTATTTTATTTTATTTTTTAAATCGATTAGGTAATTGATTATATTTTTTTGAAATATCGCTTATATTTTCTTTGTTTTTAAATCGATTTATTTCTTAATATCGATTAATTTTTTGAAAATTCAATCAAGTTTTTTTTGAGAAATCGTCAATTCTGGAATAATCGATTATTTTAAATAATCAATTATTTTCTTATTTCTAGTAGAATCGAATATTTTAAATAATCAATTATGTTACTTTATTTTAACGATAATCCATCTTTTTAAAATCGATCATTCTGGAATATCCGATTCATTACTTTTTTAATTAATAATTCTGGAAGATTCGATAATTTTTAATAACATTTTAAATAATCGACAATTTATTAGTTTTTTTTTAAATCGATTGATTATATTTTGAAAAATATTTTTTTTTTTGAAAAATCGATTATTTTTTAAAAAATCGATAATTAATTATTTTTTAAAAATTCAAAAACTTTTTTTTAATCGATGATCGATTATTTTCTATTAATCGATTAGTTTTTTGAATAATCGACAATTCTAAAATAATCGATTCCTATTTTTTTTTTTAAATAATTTTAAATCATATTTTAAATAATTTATTATTATTTTTTAAATCAATTAATTAATTTTTTTTAAGATTCTTTTAAATAATCGAATATTTATTTCTTTTTTTTTTTTTTTTGAAAAATCGATTATTTTCTATTATTCGTTTCATTATTAAATCGATTAATTATTTTTTAGAAAAACGATAATCGTTTTTTTTAACCAATAGTCGATTATTTTCTGTTAATTAGTTTTTTGAAAAACCAATTAATTTTTTTTTTTAAATCGACAATTTTAAAACAATTGATTATTTAGATATTTGATTATTTATTTTCTTATTTTTTGAAAACTAGGTAATCGATTATTTTTCAAAAAAATCGATATTACTCTTGATTCATTATTTTTTAAATCGATAATTTTAAACAATCGACTATTTTATTTTTAAAATCGATTAGGTAATTGATTATATTTTTGAAATATCGATTATTTATTTTCTTTTTTTTTAAATCGATTTATTTCCTAATACCAACCAGTTTTTTGAAAATTCAATCAATTTCTTTTTTGAGAAATCGTCAACTCTAGAATAATCGAATAATTAATAATCAATTATTTATTTTCTAGCAGAATAGATCATTTTAAATAATCAATATGTTTTCTTATTTTTTAACGATAATCCATTTTTTAAATCGATAATTCTTGAATATCCGATTAATTATTTTTTTTAAATCAATAATTCTAGAATATTCGATAATTTTTAATAATATTTTAAATAATCGACTATTTATTATTTTTTTGAATCGATTGATTATTTTTTGAAAAATAGATTTTTTTTTGAAAAATCAATTATTTTTTAAAAAATCGGTAATTGACTATTTTTTTAAAACTTCGATAACTTTTTTTAATGGATGATCGATTATTTTCTATTAATCGATTAGTTTTTTGAAAAAACTGACAATTCTAAAATAATCGATTAATAAATTTTTTTAAATCGATAATTTTAAATCATATTTTTAATAATCGACTATTTATTATTATTTAAATCAATTAATTTTTTTTTAAAAAGATTGTTTTAAATCGAGTATTTATTTTGTTTTTTCTGAAAAATTAATTATTACTTTCGATTAGTTTTTGGAAAATTCGATTATTTTTTTTTTAAATCGACAATTCCAGAATAATCGATTATTTTTTTGAAAAATTGATTCTCGATTATTCTATTATTGTTTTTTGAAAAATCGATTGATTTTTGAAAAATCGTTTTTTCTAGAATAATCGATAATTTTAAATAATATTTTAAGTAAACGATATTTGTCATAATCGATAATTTTTAAAAAAAATCGTTGATCGTTTTTTATAATTGATTATTTTCTATTGATCATTTTTTTTTTTTTGAAAAAAAAATGGACAATTTTAGAATAATTATTTTAAATAAATATATTTTCTTATTTTTTTTAATCGATAAACGATTTTTTTTTTGAAAAATTGATAATTAATTTTTTTAAATCGATAATCCAAGATATTAGATTCATTATTTTTTTAAATCGACGATTCTAAAATAGTCGATAATTTTAAATAATCGATTTATTATTTATTTTTTTTAAATAGATTATTTTTTTAAATATCGATTATTTTTTTAAAATCGATTATTTTATGAAATAGATTAATTTTTAAAAAAATCGATTATCTTTTTTTAATCGATAATCGAATATTTTCTATTGATTAGTTTTTTGAAAAATATTTTTATTTTTTAATGAAAAATCTACAATTCAAAAATAATCGAATATTTTAAATATTTGATTATTTATTTCCTTATTTGGTTTTGAAAAATCGATAATCTATTATTTTTTAAAAATCGATAATTACTCACTCCTGACTAATTTTTTTTTAAATCGATAATTTTAAATAAACGAGTATTTATTCTTTTTTTAAATCGATTTATTATATATTTTTGAAATACCGATCATTTTTTTTTTTTGGAAAATCGATTTTTCTATTAATCGATTAGTTTTTTGAAAAATCGACAATTCTAGAATAATAGTTTATTTTAAATAATTATTTATTTTCATTTTTTTAAATTGATAATCGATTATTTTTTGTTGAAAAATCGATAATTCATTATTTATTTTTTAAATCGATTATTTTTGAAAAATCGATTATTTATTTTCTTTTTTTTAATCGATTATTTTTTTAAAAATCGATAATCAATTATTTTTTAAAAATTCGGAAATCTTTTTTTAACGATGATTGATTATTTTCTATTAACCGATTAGTTTTTTTTTGAAAAATCGATAATTCTAGAATATCCATTTCATTATTTTTTTTAATCAATTATTTTTTAAAAAAACGGGAATCAATTATTACTCGTTAATTGTTTTTTTTTTATCGATGATCAATTATTTTCTATTAACCGATTAGTTTTTTGAAAAATCGATTATTTGTTTTTTTTTGAAAAATCGATATTTACTCACTCTTGTTAAATAAATAGTCCTAGGTGTAATGTGAATGTTCATAAGGTAATAAACAATTCTAGCTTGAACATGTCCCTCGTGTTTGTGTACAACTACTTTTTCCCCTGTGTTATATATTTTCATGAACGACACGTCTTTTTCTTTGATTTCGTCAAGGGGATCGTATTTTTCTTGGTAGTGCTGAATTCTTTGGAGAAAATCCGTCAAAACTGTGTCTTTATTCATGTTTGTATAATCAGGACTGCTTACTTTTACTTCTCTGATATTTTGTTCTATAATGTCAGGATCGTCGCATATCTAAAAGAAATGGATGCAAATTAATATTATTGGATTATTTTTTCCCTTTATAAACTATGTATAAAAATTCTTACGGATTCTACGAAAAATAATTTGAATCCCATTTTGGTCACAACGAAGTCGTGTATAAGTTTCCTACGATCCAGCGTGGAATTTGTAGCATCAAAAACTGCAACTTCCCCCCCATTTTCCAACCACTGGCATACGTCGTGTAATGCTTCTAATGCACATTGTGTCCTAATGGCCATGGCTTCTTGATTGTCGGGTCTAAAAAATATGTTCAACCTGAAGATTGAAAGATATGCAGTAAGTGGATGAAACGTTCAATAAAAAAAGTACAATTTTAGGACCATAAATACATTTTTGAAGAAGTACATGGGTAATTTTTGTCTAAAAGCTTTCAAAAAACTTTTTTTGACAAAATTTTCATGACCTACCAAAAAACCTTTTGGGTTGAAACGATACTTCTTGTGTTTCATGAATGAAAAAAATTAGGAACCAGAGAAAAATTTGTTTTTCTTGTTTAGAAAAATTCTGAAAGAATAGTATTGGCTCGTATTTTAAAACTAAGTGCTGTACATGTTTTAGAAAGTCAATCCAGTCCAAGAAAAATTCTCAAAAATTATGATTGTCATTCAAAATTTGGGCACACTGATACATGGGGGAAAAAAGTTTGTAATAGTCTGGTTCACAAGTGCCATTTCCCTCGAAACCTGTCCTCCAGCACCGAAAATTATGATTTTGGGCTCATTCGATTCGGAATGGAATCTAAAACATTCTATCAAAATTCCAAGAGGGGCTGAAAAAAATGCAAAAGTTATAAACAATAAAGTAAAATAAAAAATAAGGGTTTGGTTTTTTTGAAATATTTCAAAAACTGTTTGAGATAATCGAAATTTGAAAAAAGATCCTTAAAAAGCAGGAAATTTCCTAAAAAAAAGTCCTACCTCCCGGAACTGTACCAACAACCCTTATAATTTTAATTAAGCGGCGAAAATAACGGTAAAAACGTGTGGTTCGGCTGCCACGCGCATCGCCCCAATCTGACACATGAACTAAAATAGTTATTTTCCTACGACCACTTAGGAAAGTGACACATATCACACTATATAGACCTATGGAAAGTGCCCTATATCACACGCGTATGAATAAGAATTTACTTTCCACCCAAGTGAGAATATGCTACTTTCCGCAGTAGCTGTCAGAAAATGTCAAACACATAATTTCTATTTTGATCTATGTAATGTCCATATTAATACTAAAATCGATATGATTGTTAAATTATTGTAAATTAGATCCTAGATATTTATCTTTAACAATTATTTTTAAAATAATTTTAAAATAACTAAGATATATTTGCTTTTTATTCTGGTTAAACACATAAGCGATTAGATCAATCAATTACCGTAAGGCCTGTTAGCTCAGTTGGTTAGAGCATCAACTTTGCAATTTGAGACCGTCCAACGACCGCGATCGAATCCTGGCTGTGCCAGAATTTTTTTTTTATTTTTATTTGTTTAGAAATTATGAAAATTTAATAAATACGATTATTGTTGATTATTTTTTTAAATACATTTTAATTATTATAATAATCTGGTTTTACATTTTTTGATGAAATTATTTTGTGGTCGTAGGAAAAATATTGTACATCACTTGTGTGAAAAGTGATTTTCCACACTCGTGTGATAGTCGCACTCGGCTTACGCCTCGTGCGACAATATTTCCCACTCGTGTGAAAAATGTCACTTTCCACACTCGTAATGTAATATACTATTTCCTAACAAGTGCGGAAAGTGTTACTTTCCCGCACGCGACTGCAGTTGGCCCGAACGACGCGAAGCGGAGTTCGGGCAAGCGGTCAAGTGCGGGAAAGACACTTTACGCATGAGTTAGGAACATTATTTTTTCTACGACCGTATATACAAAAAAGTAGGAAAAATTATTTTTGGAAAATTATTTTATTTCAACATATACAAATCTTTAAATAAAAACAACTAATTATTATGGATATTAATGTTAAATACACAATTTGTAGCATTTTGTAAATTATGTAAAATTGCCGGTACAGAGGAATTAGTTGGTGTTAATTGGCTGTTAATAGTCGTAACGCTCATAGATTGAAAAGATGACGTGGACGGGAGTGACATCGGTTGCAGGTCGCATGAAGGTGAAAATGACGGTGGCAGCAAAGGTTGCAAGTCATTTCTATTTGAAAGAATTTTATTCGAAATGTTTTTCTTCTGTGTTTCGGAGTCCTCCAAATAGCCTTCAGCGATAGTAGTGGACTTCCAGCCACCGAGACGTTTTATATTGGTTATCGCTTCACCTGAGTCTGCTAGGAATGTTGCTGAAGAACGTCTAAAACTGTGTCCTGTATATCGTTCAGGATTAGGTAGACGCAAATATGCAGCAATCTCTGTTGGAATCTTACCAAAGGTGTTTACGCCAACGCACTGAATTGAGCATTTTCCCTTCTTATAATTAATAAAAAAGCGGCGATGCGGAGTGGTAGGTGGTCGTAAACCTGCGTACTTTCTGTACAGCTTCAGAAAGTTTCCATTATTTATTTTTTCACATAAAACAAATGATCTTGAAGAATGATTTTTGGAATCGGAAATTTTCACAACTATCAGATTGCCTTTATCTTGTATATCATCGAGAGTGATATTTACAAGCTCCGCTCTGCGGAGAGCACCAGCTAAAGCAAAAATGGTACTCACTTTAATCATAAGGTATACCTCATCAGGGGCTAACATAAACCTGGATATATCTTCTTTGGTAAAAACCTGCGCCTTCTGTGCTCGAAAACCAACATTTTTTTGTTTATATCCAAATTTTGTTTTATTTTTACTAAACTTTGCACCATCGAACAGCGAGACCATAAATTATTAGATTTCAAAAACTTACTTAGGTGCGAAAAATACGCCAGAAACACCTCTTCTTTGTAGGTTTTTACCCCTTCCTGTTTACACCATGTGACAAAATGGTCGTATTGTTTTTCATATCTTCCTCGTGATTTGGCAGGTAACACCTCCAAATGTGCTTCATTTGCAGCTTTTAAAATGGCTTCGGGCAGCTCTTCATCCGATGAATCCATTATTTCTTTAATTTATTTTAATTCAGTTGACGCTTTAACAAACAACTTTGACGTTTTTGTAACAATAACACGCCTTGGTTACCATATAGCAACCATATCAAGCCATACATGTCACAGCCTAGTCTGACTTTTAAAAATATACAGAAGGTATATAAAAATATCTCTATTATTCAAGTTTACCAAAAAATTTAAATTATAACAAAAAGCAAGAAAAAAAGTAAATTTTATTAAATGGAATAGTTGGAAAATACTAAATTACCTATTGTAACAATAGTTATAACATCCGAGGTAAAAAAACTATACAATAGGTAAGGCCAAATATTCATAATCTTACTTTCCCGCACCAGTGCGGGAAAGTGACACTTTCAAAACTAAAATGCGTGCGGGAAAGTGGGTAAAAATACACGGTTGTAGAAAAAAATTATTTTAAGTGATTAAATATTAATATTAAGGAATAAAAAAATTTGGGTACTAAGGAGACATATGAATAAACAATAATCCGTAAACAAAAAAATTTTATCACTATTTTTTTATTAAATATGCTTTTGTTAATTAGTTAATTTTCACCATTTTAATGTTAACATAAAAACGCTGATTATTTCAAAACAACTTTTTTATTAACAATCAAAGGCATTAAAAAATTATTTAGTACAATATTTTTAAAAGTTAAATAAAAAATAAAAAAATGTTTTCAATAAAAAAATATATATGGTTGTTTTTGTAATAGGTTTTAGTATTTAAAAAAAAATAATTTTTTAATGCCTTTGATTGTTAATAAAAAAGTGAAAAATCAAAAAAATTTTGAATTTTTCCAACGGGGATCTCTTCTAAACCCTTTTAACAATAGCTCAAAAAAATCAAAAAAATTCTAGATTTCTTGTTTTGAAATAATCAGCGTTTTTATGTTAACATTAAAATGGTGAAAATTAACTAATTAACAAAAGCATAATTAATAAAAAAAAATACTGATAAAAATTTTTTGTTTACGGATTATTGTTTATTCATATGTCTAACTTAGTACCCAAATTTTTTTATTCCTTAATATTAATATTTAATCAGTTAAAATAATTTTTTTAGTTCATGTGTCAGATTGGGGCGATGCGCGCGGCAACCGAACCACGCGTTTTTACCGTTATTTTCGCCGATTAATTAAAATTATAAGGGTTGTTGGTATAGTTCCGGGAGGTAGGACTTTTTTTAGGAAATTTCCTGCTCTTTAAGAATCTTTTTTCAAATTTCAATTATCTCAAATAGTTTTTGAAATATTTCAAAAAAACCAAACCCTTATTTTTTATTTTACTTTATTGTTTATAACTTTTGCATTTTTTTTTCAGCCCCTCTTGGAATTTTGATAGAATGTTTTAGATGCCATTCCGAATCGAATGAGCCCAAAATCATAATTTTCGGTGCTGGATGACAAGTTTCGAGGGAAATGGCACTTGTGAACCAGACTATAACTGGAACAACAGAAAACAAGCTTTCAATACCGAAGAACACAAAAGTCGGGAAAACAAAGGTACAAAACATAATGCAGTTATGCAAAAGAAGTAGTAATGAAACAGCAACCGAGGGATTTTATTAAATCCAGTGGCGGCTCGTGGGGTGGTTCACAGTGACAGAATATAGGTATCAGTACAGATGTATGAAAAAATATTCCGTGTTATAGAAAGTTTATAATATACCTTTCTAAAACACTGACAGTTTTTTACCTATATCTGTACCGGGATCTATATTCTGCTACTGTGAACCCCCAAAATTTTGGCCACGAGCCGCCCCTGATTAAATCATACATCAGTTTCAAATACCTTATACATTTTCCTATTAGAGTACGCAACGGTCAGGAATTCACGCTTGACTTACTATTAGTCAATGATAAAAACTAATAAGACCCATTAACTCTAAATCACCTATTGGTTTGAGTGATCATGTAAGTAGTCATTACGGCAGTTGCACAACCTAACATCCAAACTGGATCTACGTATAGTGTTAAAAAAGAGAAACTTCTGGAAAGCAGATTAAACATTAATTAATAGTGAGATAGTTCAACATATTGCACATTTGCAAGATGCTGCTAATAGTTTTTACGAAACTTTAATAAAAATACTGCACAAAGTAATAAATGACAATATTCCACTAGAAGTAATAAATAAAAACCCTGGATCAATCGAACCCACTTCAAAGAAATTAA